GGCTGTGAACGACAGCGGGAATCGGCGGCCAACAGACGTGGGTGGCAGCAGGAATCGGTGGCCGACAGACACGAACGACAGCGGAGCAGGGCGGGCGCGCACGCGCATGACCTGAGGCGGAGTGGCAGCGGCTTGGCCAGGAGAAGGTGGGGCCGCGCGGTCTAGCCGGAGGAGGCGGCATCCTGACGGGAAGCACAGATGACAGTCGCTCGACCGGAAGGCGCAGGTAGCGTAGCGACCTGAATCAGACTGTGTGGTAGCAGAGCAGCACACACAGGCGCCGGCAGAGTCAGGGAAGATCTAGAGCAGCAGCCCGAACGCAGCAGCCAGATCAGGAGCTGGATGGACACATCTGTTCAGCATGCGGCGTATGTGAGCGGAGCAACCCGAGAATCAGCAGATCAAGACCAAGGGCCGAGGAAAAGCTATCAGCCGCCAGACGTGAGGAGGTCGCTCATGGCGGTGAGTAGATGGGATCGAGGAAAAAGACTAGATCGATACTGGATCGATCTGTACGAGCACAAGTTGCAGCGTGCGAGAAAAAATAACCTAAGCTCTGTTACCATGTTAGAGAAAGCAACTTAATCTTATTAGGAGGACAAAGGCAGCATATATACAAGTACATGAGGATGCCAAAAGCCTAGAATGCAAAAGACCAAAAGTCATCACTAATATAATTGTAACAGTCCTGCTCACTGGCGCCCTGACATAGTAAAACTTAGCATGTAGCTACTGACTGTAGAAGAACCTGATCCATGGAGGATTGAGAGGGGAAACTATGGTGAGTGTGATGGTTGAGTGAGAAGTGAGACACCGATGAGTGACAAGTGAGCGGGAGCTTTGCCTGAGAAGGCCTAATGACAAGTGGGCCCTGCAAGCAACATACCCATTAGTTGAGACACCCTCTTCACCACCTTCAATGCGTGTTAGAGCATCTCCACTCACCCCCAACATGCCCCCCAGGGCTCTTTTTTTAGCGCCGGGGCGTCGAAAAATCGGCCCAGTCGCACCCTATGACCTTGTTTATCGCCAGTTTGGGCCAAAATAACAGCCGACGAACCCGAGCCGAACCCAAGCCCCCGGGGACCGCTTGGGGGTGCCGGCCGAAGCCAAAAGGCGCGTGGGTTCACTCTGTCGGCGAGAGACAAGCCTTTTCCCACCGATCCACCACTTTCACCCTCCATTTCCCCCTTATGTCCCTCTTTTCCCGCCATTCTCCTCCCTCTCCTCGCCATCCGGCCGCCATCCCCCATGCCGCCGAAGAAGTACTCGGCCCCTCGCACCGCTGCCATTGCGGATGCCACCCAGCCGAAGCAGAGGAAGCCCATGGCGCCGCCGGCAACACCACTGGGCATGTCGAACACTGACTGCAGGGCGGAGGTTCAGCGCCGGGAGGCTGTCACCATCGACCGGCGGAACATGCTCAACGCCAAGAGGGCCCGAGACGCGGCGGCAGCGGCAAAGCAGGAAGAGGCGTCTCGCATGGGGATGAAGAATCCGCCCGGCGGCCATGACCCGCAAGCTGCCTTGAGCCAGTAGAGCGCCGTTGGCCAGCTTCTCGCCGCCGCCACAGCCCTGGGGGTACGCACCCTCCCCTGGCTACTCCGATGGCGAAGCGCATGGTGGATTCAACCCCAACATCACCTTTTCGCATGGCCAGGGCGCCTCACGCTCCGGTCTGAACCTTGATCAGTGCACAACCTCGCTCGCATTCGCAGGCGTCATGTACAACCCGTACACCTACTCGCCTCCGGCGTACGCAACATCCCTGACGCCACCACTGCGTTGTGGCGCCCTGGTTTTTGGTGGTTATAGAATTCTCATACTTCTTCAACTCGAATACCAAAAGGACCTTCTCGCAAGCCTCGTCGTCGCATTTTGGTAACCCCGACACGACGGAAGCCAACATGGACAAGATCATCATGAGTGCCTTGGCCGCCGCCACCGCCTTCCCTGGATTCCAGGCGCAAGACGACACAACGGACCTCATGGCGACATTGACGACGAGCATGACTACGTCGAGGAGGAGGAGGACGAGGAGGAAGAGGAGGAGGAGGAGCCGGTGTCGGTGCCAGAGAGGAAAGGGAAAAAGAAGAAACGGGGGGCCAGGACGGGCGAGCCGCGCGTCAAGTGGACATCCAAAGAAGACGAGTGCCTCGTCGAAGCATGGAAGACCGTCTGCCTCGACCCTATCACTGGCATGCACCAGAACGCCGACACGTACTGGACGCGCATCAAGTCGGCGTTCAATGAGCGCAAGCTGCTCGACCCCTACTTCGCCACCATCCGCATGCAGCGTGGTTCGAAGGCCATGTCGAACCATTGGGGGCTCATCCAAACGGCCTGCAACAAATGACATGGGATCGTCGAGGAGATCGCGACTCGCCCGAAAAGAGGCGCCAACGTCGAGGGTCAGGTATGCACAGACGCCGGCTCTTGCTTCTTTTCTCCGTGTACGTCGCAGACAGTTCTTCTTCGGCGCAGATGGTTCGGATGTTCACCATGTACCGCCAGGACAACAACAACGACCAAGAGTTCAAGTACCTCCATGTGTTCACCTGGATCGAGAAGTGCGAGAAGTGGGCGGATGTCCGGCGCACCCTCGCCAAGGCCAAGGTGACGTACAAGCCGGGCGAGCCCACGCCGGAGGCGGCGGATGGGCGCCCTGACGGCAACAAACAAGCCCTGACGGCGAAGGACCCTGCACCGGCTGCCGAGCGGCTGGACGCGTCCATCGAGCAGGGCATCGCCGATGCCAAGAACCACGCCGCCCAGAGGGAAGAGAAATCTGAGGCGCGGTGGTCGGCCTTGATGACGAACAACGCCGTCAAGCTCGACCTACTCCGGACCAACGTCGCCGCGAAGAAAAGGAACACCGACCTGGCGTTCTTGATGGGGGCGGACATGTCGATGATGAATGAGCAGGTCAAGGCGTGGTACCTGGCAGAGCGCGGCCCCATCTTGAACCAGATGCCGTCGACGACCGTGCCAACTACCATGCCGACCCCAACGCTGCCACCAAGCCCGAGTGATGATGCCGCCACGACACCCAGCACAGAAGCCACACCGACGTCGACCAACCCGCCGACGCCGAGCACGCCTACGCCCACCAGTCCGACGCGGAGGAGCCCGCCATCGTTTGATGCATTGCCTACGCGTCCTTCCTTTTTGAATGCCGAACTTTCGAATATGTTTCATCGCCGAACTGCGGCATGGTGATCGCCGAATTTTTGTGGCAGACGTTGATGGCTGAACTTGTGGCTTTTTTCAGGTAGCGAGAGATGGTATGTTTGAATTTATGCGCGTCTTGGGCCGGAACCTGAGGGCGTGGCTGGAAACTGGATCACCTCCGGGGCCAAAAACGTGCCGACGCTTGGGTGCCGAATGAGTGGAGATGCTCTTAGCACACTTGCACTCGCATGCGGGCGTAGCAGGCTGCGACCCAAAAATTAGCTCGCTCGCTCACATCACGTCGCAAGGATTGCTCAAGCACTCTTGCACGTTTTCTAAAAAAGGAAGCTCGCACGCCAGTTGCTGCTGTTGCTCTCCTGGTCGATGAAAAAATCAGATTACTAGCAAAAAATATTTTTCTAAAAATCTGAAAAACGGTGAAATCAAAAGATGTTCTGAAAAGAATTCATGAGTTCAAAACTGCTCATGAATTTTAAAATATTCATTTTTCATGAATTTGTAAAAAAATCATGATTTTCAAAAAGAATCTTGAATTTAAAAAAAGATCACAAATTTGGAGAAAATATTCATGAAATGTAAAAAATTGCAATATTTGAAAAATGATCCTTAATTCATTTTTTGCGAATTTGTTTTATGAATTTGAGAATAGAACCATGTGTTTAAAATAATTAAAAATTCATGAATTTGAAAAATGTTCACAAATTAAGAAAATGTTTTGGAATTTGAAAATAATTTGAAAAGTGTTCGCTGATCTGAAAATTTTCATGAACTAAAAATAGGAAAAAAATAAATAATACAAAAGAAATAAAAGTAAAAACTGACGAAAGCTTGACAAAACCGGTTGGAAGTTTCACAAAACCGGCTGGGATCTTCTGCAAGCGGGATAACTAGATGGCCGACCCATTAGCAACTAATGTGGTCAAACGGCTATGCGCATTAACGCCGTCAAATAGGATTTGCGGCTAGTTAGTTTTAGGGTTTCCTTGATTAATTGCAGTCACGGATGACAAATAGGAGAAATGAAACTAGATAAAACCATCTTCCTTACATTAAAGTAATGGACAAACCAAGAAAAGACATGGCGAGGACCCCTCCACGTTTCGAAAGAGAATAATAAGAGACCGAGAATAAAGCCATGCATATTTCAAGCCTCCGAGGTCAATAGAGTACCAATCTGATCAGTTGCCCTCCGTCCTATATTCAGATGGGAGGGTCTCAATCTGAATATATAAGAAACACGTTACATTATACTCCCTCCGTCCCGTAATATAAGAACTTTTTTTACGGCACAGGCCAAGTGCAGTTCATTACGGAGAACACAAGCATTCCTAGAATCCCACAATTTTCAGAGGATGGTGAGGGCGACGGTAGGCCAAATGTTGATGTCGAGGGCTACCCAAGAGTGCAGCCACTATATTATGGGACAGAGGGAGTATTAGTATTTATGCACTCTTTATTTAACCCGCATATGGCTCTGTTGTCCTATGTACAACCACCATTTCCTGTCATTTACATGTGTGGCGAAACACTTCTGATTTCATTACCACACGATGAATTATGCTCAGCTGAACACAAACAAGTATATATCAGTATGTGACTAGTAGCAGCAGCAGCAGCTAATACTGCAATGTGTAGTAAAATGTAGAAGTGTCTTGTTACTCACCCTCGGGCTAAGCCAGTATCCATCCATCGATCCTTGTCTTGCCTGTACATATCAACTTATAATCTTTCATGCAATGATGTAGTAGTAGTGTTGCAGTTTTCAGTTCACTGGCCTTTTGATTGGATTAGTTGATTTATACGTACTATTAGCACCAGTTGCTTAACCCATGGACGTCGTCGAACTGCACCGCGTCGTCGTCGATCATGCCGCTGTCGTAGACGCACTGCCCCTGCAGGGCGCCGTCAAAGTAGTCAGACCACCTGAGCTCGCCCAGAGCACCGGCGTATTGGTCGACGTGGCCGGAGATGGTGTCGGTCGGCCCGAGCTCCAGCCACGGCAGGGTGGTGGCACCAACGTCAGTTGCGGTCAACGTGCTGGAGCTCGACGCAGACGGGAAGGTGCCGCAGTGCGCGCCCATGTGGAAGTCGCAGCCTTCCTGAAGGCTCGGCACCTGGTAGGATTCGGGCACCCCGTTGCCGGCTACACCGCCGACGGGCGAGTCCAGCTGCATCTTCAGGCTATCCAGCATTTTGTCCACCTGCTGGTCCTGGGCCAGCGCCGTCGTCCTCGGAATGAGCTCGGCATCACTGAAGACTGGTCGGCACGCGGTGGGCGACGTGGTGGCCTCGGCCAGCGGCTTGTGGGTGGCGGGGTCGATGCCGCGCTCCCTCAGCTTCTTCTTGATGTACGAGTTCCAGAAGTTCTTGACTTCGTTGTCCGTCCGGCCGGGCAGCTGGGCTGCAATCTGTGACCACCTGAAAAATGCATACAGGTGGATGTCATATCTATCGATGAATTGGAAGCCAGGTAAGGCGACGTACGTACTTGTTCCCTATCATGGAATGGAGGTGTATGATGAGGTCCTCCTCCTCCTGCGAGAATGTGCCCCGCTTGAGGTCTGGCCTCAGGTAGTTTATCCACCTCAGCCTGCAGCTCTTGCCACACCTCTCAAGTCCTAATTAATTCAACAAGTTGCTACCAATTATTTCTTCATTTTCGAAACTGATAGGCAAGTCTTAAGCACAATGCAGCACACACATACGCAATTACGCATACGGTCATATATACCTGCAAGCTTAGGAACGGAGCTCCAGCAGCCGTGGCCGTACATGGCAATGTGGTTCATGAGCTTCTCGTCCTCCTCCGGGGACCAGAGCCCTCTCCTCAGCCTCTTCTTGTGGCAGCACGACTGCTTCGCCATGGCCGGTCGGCAGTGGGCACTAAGACGCCGCGAGGATATATGGAAAACAAACGGCTGGACAAGGATAGAGACACGATGGTGGCAGCGAGGAGAGGGAGAGGCGGAGGTATAAAGAGGAAGAGAGGGGGCGGGAGGGAAGAGGCCGGGCGGTCGCTCTCAGGTAGGTGTGCATCGTGGGAGAGTGCCCTGCCTGACCCGGGAGCCCTCGTCTCCTCCATCTGATCCCCTACCTTTGCCGCTGGCTGCATGCACACGTACAGTTGCGCAGGACTTTGCTAGCTGTGCAGTGGTAGCTCAAGCCCCCCCGCGCGCCCGGGAAATAAAGGTGTAGGTCATGGCTCATGGATCACGATAAGGCAATCTTCACCGGTGCATGCTCATAGGCCTCACAGCTGTGGTGGGGCAGTTGACCACTTTTTTTCTTCTCTTTCTCGCTCTGCTCTCTTTCATGCCTAGTAGCTTGCTAGTTTCTTTTTGCCTAATTTCTGTCGCCTTTTTTTTTGCGAAAAGCCCTAAGCCATCTATTAAGCATTACAGGATCTTACAAACACATCTGTAAAAATATTATTCAAATCCTTGAGGGTGTCGAACTTCCTCCTATATTCAACTGCGGGCGGCGTGTCATGAGCACTGCTTGACGCAGTCACTAGGCCTCCGTCTTGGTGGAGTAAACTTTTTAAACACAGGAGCTTATAGAAGCAGCGGCAGGGGAGTCGTGGATACAGACTAGGAGATGCCGGCTGCTGTGAACTGCGAAGTAAATCGCCCCGCCCAAGAAGAAAACGCCGAAGGGCTGCAATTTTTTTTGAAAACCATGAAAGCCATCCGAATCCAGAAGGATCCACCGGAAACCAAAACCGCCGGATCCCGGAAAATCCGCCGGAGACACGACTCCACACGCCCTCCGCTGGCATTAAGCACACCAAGAGAATGGGGAAAGAGCAGAGAGAACATTGTTCCCGCACTTGAAAAGCACAACTGCCTTGCTGGCCCAAACCAAACTTGAAGATTCCGTAAGAAAACCTGAATAAGGTCACTCGTTTCGTTGCATGACAGTTCTGGATCTGATGTCGACCTCGCCATCGTACTGGACCATGCACCGACTCTCTATTCTTCGATGACCTAGCCAGGCTGGGCTGCCGTTGAAGATCATGGAGCCGGATGACCAATGTCGCCGTCAAACACCGTCCGAGGAAGACCATCACTCGAGCATACATCTTCTTCGCCATCCCGCAGCAGCACTCCAACTCCTCCACATGAAGGCCGCACCTGATTAGGACCTCCCCGCAACCGCCACAATCGTTGCACGGGCTTTTCCCGACGATGCGTCCTAATGGCGGGGAGAGGGGAGTAGATGGAACTACCTATACACCTTAGAGTATGCGCC